TTTTGTTTGTTTTAGTGTTTTTCTTTGCATATTTCTTTCAATCCCCCCGAAAATTTGAAGTGACTCCCTTAAATTAAAAAAAAAAAAACCCTAAACAAAGTTCAAAACACATATCCAAATTCACTTTTTTTCCAAAACTGTTTTCTCAGATCTTCTATGTTTGCAAGCTTCAGATGTTTCCACCTTCAAAGGGCTTTCCTGCAAAAAAAAGATAGGTAAGCCCTGACTGGAACTTCCCTGAAGAAATCTTACCTCTTGGTGCTCCGCTATAATCAATGCTCTTGACTGTCAAGCCGGTAAGTGTTTCCATGTGCTAACAAAAGCTGTGGGGATGAGGGAGTAAGGCACTGTGGTGATACAGTTCCAGGTATCTGAGGTAGGGTCATAACAATCCAGTGTTTTGCATCTCTGTGTCCCAAAGTAGCCCCCCACCACATAAAGCTTGTTTCCTGAAGCCAATGCGTGGCAGGACATCCGCTTAGCTGTCATGTCCCCAATCCGTGTCCACTGGTCTGTTTCACAGTTAAAACGGTAAGCGGAGGCTGCAGTATATTCTGTGTCTCCACCCATGATAAAAATCTGGCTGCCTAAGACAGCAGCTGCTGTGTAACGCCAGGGTTGGGGGCACTCAGCTTTGATAGTCCACCGGTTCTCGATGGGGTCGTAGCACTGGACTTTGGACACCATGTCCCGGTGAATGCTGGTTCCACCAAACACGTAGAGCTTGAGCCGTGCGCTGACAACTGCTGCATTGCTGACACCATCCCTCAGGGGAGCAACCATGGTCCACTTGTTGGCAACCGGATCATACTTCTCCCCCTGCTTTAGCGAAACAGAAGGAGAAGCAGGAAAGACCCCCGCCACTGCGGTGTGACCACCCACTACATAGAGGCAGTTCTCTAGCTCAGCTGAACCATGTCCAAACCGAGCGATAAGCATTGGAGCAGCTTTGGACCATTCTTCATTAACCGTGTCATAGACCCAGACATCCTTGGATACACCATTTTCTGAGCCTCTCCCTCCAGTAATGTAAACTTTGCAGCCAATGGCACAAGCACTAAACTCTTTCCGTGGGCTGGGTAGGTCTGATTTAGGGATGATCTCTTTTGCCTTGTGGTCTACTTGGTAAACTTTGTCACACATGAATGTCTGCCCACCTAAGATGAGCAAAGTATGCCCAGCTTTGCGGGGCTTGGCACAAGGACTGGTGACCACCCCGTCATTCTGCAGGATTTTCTTCTTGCACCGAAGAGCCTCACCCATGATTTCCTTGTTCTCCTCCTCTGTTGTGATCAGCTCCTCATAGGCCATGGCTTCTTTGAGGCATTCAGAAGGCAGCAATGCCAATCGCACATTCTTTAGCAGCTCTGGAAGAAAAGGCTTCCTTTTGCCTAAGTCATATTTCACCCAGTGGATAACTGCCTTGAAGACCTTCTCCTCATCCTCAATTTCCAGCTCATCACTGGAAATCAAGTCCAGCAGCGTATCTTTGGAGAGGTTGTTAAAGTCATCACTCCTGTGGATTGTCTCAAAGTTGACCAAGCACATCCTCCAAGAGAGCTCATAAAGTCTCTTGCACTGGTGAGCATCTGAAAGGACCATCATTCCCAAGCAATTGGAAGGACAAAGGTTCTTCTCAAGGAACTCAGCAGCTGCATCTCGGACATCATGAAACTGCAACATGTCTCCAGCTTCCAGGAGGGACTCTGCATTCTCCTCATTGATAATGATCTTGGATGAGTAAGCATAGTCCAGCAGCAGCTCCAACACCTCTGGATGAAGGCTATCATGGAAATTAACTTCATCCCCTAAGCTCTCACGAAGGCCATTGCTGAACATGGCTTCAAAATATCTACTGGAAGCAGCTAACACTGCTCGGTGACATGAAAAAGATTTATTCCCTGCAGAGAGCGTGACATCAGTGAACATGCAGTGCTTTCTCATAGTATTGAGGTGAGACAAGACACAGTCTGAGTGGGAGGCTTTGTGGAAAAGCAAGATGTTCATTGAGCCGGTACTGGTCCTGGATTTACGGTTCTCGTGGACACTGACTGACATGACTGCTGGAGTATAAACTGTAGGAAAAGGAACAAGAAAATCCTTATTTTCAAATAATAGTGGTTGACAAACACAGTGGAATTTAACACTGGGGAGACTCAGAATGAAATCTAGGTGACCTTGTACTTAGTCATAGTCTCTCAGCCTAGTATACCTAGCAAAGTTTTAAAAAGATGTTCTAGACACCATATAAAGCTTGTTAGAATAAAGGTGGGATGATAAAGAGGTATAATCTGGAACAATAAAATGTTATCCCTAAAATCTAAGGAAATATATCCAGGATTACCCATCAGTGGGAGTAGTAAACACATAGATGTCTTGATCCATTTCTAATAGCCAATCAACAAGAAGAAATGCAGAAATGGAATAACAAATAAGATGAGCCCTTGATCTCATCGTGGCAGAAGGCTGAATAAAATAAAAGAGCAAGGCTCAAGTTGTCCTTAAAAAATCCTCCTCCAAGGACTTTCCCAGTTCTTCTTCAGAGTCTCTTGCTGGAATGGCAACACTAAAAATCAAGATTAGATTCTTTGCTGGCATACTTTCTCTATTCTCTCCATTTCTCATGGATGCCAAATCACACCCTTCTGTCAATTTCTTTCCCCAATCCAATCATCATTTCCATTCACACCCACAAACACAAAATCCTCCTGGTTGCTACTTTTGCATGTTTGTGCCAAGTAATCATTACACTCTGAAAGAAAAGTAACAAGCTCCTCATTCTAAGCTGGAGGCCAAATTTCCTTGTTGGTTAAAACATCTGGATTTCCATTCCCAATCTCCCTGCTGGTTTATTTTTATTTTTCATAGCAGTGGGTTTTTTTTTTTTTTGAAATTTTATATGTGTAAAAATAAACAATGAAAATGTTGAAGAGACAGCTTCACATTTGTTGTGGTTGCCATCTTCTAAGGCTAGCTATTTGGGACATTGGAAATTCCAGTTTTGCAATGCCAAAAAAGGCTGAGAGGTTGGGTGGGGGAAAGTTCCTAAAGCCGTCTATTATACTCTTCCCGAGAGAAAGTTCAAATGAGCCATGGCATCAGAGTTAGAGGACTCCACAACTGCAGATTGAGTCTCTGTGGTTAGAGCACTCCATGATTGCAGATTGTGTTACCCTGCTGGAGAGTTACTATAATTAATAGCTGATGTAAAACCCTGCATTTGTACTTACTTAACAGTTCTTATTTTCTAACTCCTATTATGAAATTGGGATTATTTTTAAGCAAATGTCTACACCAGTGTTTCTCAACCTTAGCAACTTTAAGATGTGTGGATTTCAACTCCCAAAATTCCCCAGCTAGCTCTGGGGAATTCTGGAAGTTGAAATCCACACATCTTAAAGTTGCCAAGGTTGAGAAACCCTGGTCTACATGGTTAGAGGTTGAACAACGAACCAGGAAGAGAAGTGTTTGCATTTTGCTTCTGGTACAAATTCCTTAAGATATTCTTGCTCAGTCAATTCTGCCATCCTGGAGGAGCTCATTTTTATTATTATTATTTTATTTATATTTCAGATTTGTCACTGCCCATCTCACTCATCAATACTGAGTTGTCCATGTAGAGTTGTTTTAAGGCTTTCAACTAAACTATGTATCTGAAATGGTTTGAATATGTGAAATTACTCAATGAACATTACGGGATGATTCTTCTGATTTGACATTTAAAATTGGCACCAGTCTTTGAACAATCCCGTAACAGCAAATATTTTTTGTAAATTGATTTGTATTTAATTAAAAAATAACTCACTTTTCATTAAAACTTTCAGCAATAGTAATACAACTCCAATTACAGTAGCCTGTAAGACAACTTTCTTGAACTCAGTGCCCTCCAGCCACACTGGATTATAAAATCCTTTGTTTAAAACACCTGAAAATTATGGGAATTATAGTAAAAGATGTCTGCAGGATGTGTGGTTGGGAATGTCTGCTGTAGCATCTATAACTGTTTTTCAAATCCAACCATATGTTTCAAGCAGAGAATATTCAATCTGGAGACTTTATAGAAGCAAAAAAGTAAACTTTAAAAAAATGAATAAAAACCTCCAGCATTCCCTCAATTGCCCTTTTTAAGGAATTGTTTGCATGCAGAATCATGTTTTGCTGGTAAAGACAGCAATCTTTTCAGAGAAACAGGCATTGTCCTCAGCTGGGGCATAAGCATGCTGAGTTTGAATTTTTACTTCTTATTTTATAGGGTTTTGTTTTTTACTAATTCATTTTATAATAGAAATAAAATGTAGAATTTATTTATTGACCACTTCAATCCCAAGAGGTTCTAGGAAGTGTACAGAAAATATAAAACACGATAAACAAAAAGTATGTAATAATAATACAAACACTAAAAAGCCAACTATTCTGGTGCTGATGACTCTAAGCAACAGCTAAAGGCCTTCTGGAAGAGCCAAATTTTCATTAGTCTTTAGAAAGGTCAAGCTATTCTATAGGAGGGGAACCCCCATAGAAAACACACCATTCAGCCCCTTTCCATCATATCATGACTTGCAATAGAAGGGGATCTTCAGCAAGTACTCCCTAGTCTTTCAGGTGCTCCAACCCTGCAAGGGACTTGTCTTCAGATGAAGAGGAAGCAGAGACAGAAGCATCAAGTGGTAGTAGTCCTGTCACTGGAGATTCCAGGAATACTGGAGCCATTGACCCACTCTGATTTTGACAGCCCCAGCAAGTTCACAGGACCCCTTACCGTGGAGAGTCAGAAGTTCAGCCATCTCTAAACAGAGGTGGTTAATGAAGATCTAGGAGCAGAGAGCCGGACTTCACAGATCTGAGAGGCTCGCCCAAGGGCATGTGAGGGCTAATGGGAAAGTTGACTCTGCAGCTACTGTTTAATGAATCTCAGCTGCGCAATGGATGGAGGCTCAGCATGGCATTTTACAACATTTGTTCCCTTTGGATAGCGCTAAGAACAAGTTATAAAAATTAAGTTCTTGCCTGTGAATATCCTCTGATGCTGTGTTCTGGACTTTGGATTTCTTTTGACCTTCTCTTTTGCTTTTCCTTTGGTCACCTGATTGATAACTTACTGGTCTCCGATCCCTGCTTAACCACAGCACCGTGTGTCCTCAAAGGTAGGACAAAAGGAATTTTTCAAAGGCTGTTTTACTCCAGGTAGCTGCAATAAAGCCTAAGCTTGCTTTTCTCTAACTTGGAGCAGAATTATATCTTGCTAATTTACTTCCTGACAAATTGTGATGCTGGCCCAGAAAAAAAGGCTGGGTGGGTGGAACGTATCTGTAAAAGATAATCTGTTAGATTGTTAGAGGACTTCCATTTTCAGTGGAAATGGAAATGAGGGTTATTTATAAAATAAGAAGCTTTATGGAGGAGTAAATGAGTGAGAATGCACAGAATCTTGTATCTGAATTCTAACTCAACCTTCCAGATATACTGTAATCTTAATCTCCAGCAAATTGCAGGGCCAGAATGGAGAAGCTTGGTTGAACAAATCTGTGTTGCAAAATAGATAACTTCTCATCAGAAAATACAGCAGAACTCTGGGAATTGTCAACTTGTTTCAAGCCAGCTGCTAGACAACCTGCCACTGTTCTCCAGCACCGTCCTTAAACATTTTTGTGTAGGCACAACACTGGCCTACATCCAAAATATAATGCCCTTTAAAATTAGCATGTGAAATGACTTAAGTGAATCCTATTAATTGTTTAGGATGCGAGTGGAACCTCACCCTGCCCTCCAAATGTGGCTGTTTCCCATTAGTCCTAGCCATTGGAAATACAAGTAATCCTCACTTACAGTAATGGTATGTGGGAATGACCTTGGGAGACGGGGGAAGAGATGCTGCCTAAGGAATGGTCGGATAAGAGAGGGCATAGCCTGCAGCTGCATAATGGGTGGAGAAAGAAGCTCAGAAGGGACCCTCCCTCTCAGGCTGTAAAGGGACAGTGGGAGATTTGTACTTTCAGGCTTGCAAGATTGATGCCAGCCTTCCTAGGTAGACCAGACAGGAAACGCAATCAGATGTGCTAATACTACTTTATTGCAAGACTACATTAACATAATCTTGCAAGTCTGACTTACTGATCACTTGTTCAGTGACCATTTGAAGTTACAACAGCACCGAAAAACGAGTCTTACAACTGGTTCCCGAAGATGTGGCTGTCACAGCATCCCTGCAGTCATGTGATCTCCATTTGCAACCTTCATTGCTGGCTTCCAAAAGCAAAGGCAATGGGGAAGCCAGCAGAAAGTCCAAGTCATGGTCACATGATGTCGTGCTTAACAGCTATGCCCAGAACTGACATCGTCAGTGCAGTTATGTGACATCACACGTAACAAACGCACTGCTTAGCGATGGAGTTGCCAGTCCCTATTGCAGTCAGTAAGCGAGGACTACCTGTATTGTTTGGAGCTGCTGGGAATTGTTCAGCAGCATCTGGAGAGACACATTTTGTCCAGCCTTGGTTTTGACCAAAATTCTCTCCTTTGACCTCTGCCATGAAGACTATCCCTGATCTAATACAAGCCATAGCTCAGTGGAAGAGTACATAATCTCATGACAACTGTTCAATTTATTTTCAGAACAGCCTTTTCTCCAAGGAACTCAACATGGTGTACTTATTCCTTACTTTTTACATTCCTGACAACAACTCTGGGAGGTAGCTATGGCTATACATTTTGGTTCTAGACCCTTAACCTCTTCTTCCGAAATGGGCTTAGCGAGCAGAAGGCTTACAGACACGACACGATTAGTCTCTTTAATATAGACAAGGATGAAGCCATATACAGGATTCATAGCCCTTCAATAGGTTTATGCTCCTGGGTTTAAATTCCAGATGTTTTCATCCTGGCTTTCTGAGAAATGGATAATTGGTTGTTCTGTTGATGGCCTTAAAAGAGACCTGATCAATGCTAACACAATGATTCTCTCTAGTGCGGGAGCTGCTGGTTCCTGCCTCACCAGCTTCATTGCTAACAAGTTAGGTGTGAAATAATTAGGGAGCCCAAGGTCACCCATGCAGGTGCTGTGATTAAGAATGGAGCT